ACCAGAGTTTTTTTTTTTTCTCTCTCCCTCTCTCTCTCTCTCTCTCTCTCTCTCTCTCTCTCTGAAAAGACACGCGGGCGGGCCTGGGCGCGAACCTTCGCGACTGAATGGGCATCAGCTCAACCGACCTGCGCGGGTTAAGCGCTCAGCTTTGGGGGCTGCCCTTCATGTAGTCGCACGGCACCTTCCAAACTCTCCCTCTTAGGGCTGTGTGGCACAGAAAAGCTGCAAAATCCCAGCCTCTCTTCGGGGCTGCTGCACCTGAAGATAACAGCCGTCGCACGCATCTCCTCATGCCAGCGTGCGCCAGCCTTGAGGCCCCCAGCGGTGCCTTCCTCGCAAAGCGCATTTGGAATGGTTGCATTTTGGGGCACACCGAGCCTGAAAGGTCAGCGCACGCCTGCCTTGGTGGAACTACGTATACGTAGTAAAACCCATCATTGCCTCTTAGTGACGTTTCTAACAGCTCTTCTCTTCTGCCTCTGCTGGTTCACATCAGGTTAATGAGCCCAGCTTCGGCGTGGGCAGGGCTATGGCGCCACAACAGAACAGCCATCCCCACCTCCCGGCAAGGATGCTCTTCAGAACGTTTCGGGTTTAACGCCAACGCCTGCACATCTCCAATCAGGTTGAATGATGGCTCTTCCCCTCAACAAGGAGCACGTGTGGAGATGGAGTTGGGGAGTGGGTGGATTTGGTCTCCCCGGATGGTGAATGACCTGAAGACGCATCCGTGTTGTGAAGACGCATTCGCCAAAAAAGGCCTAATAAGCACAGACACATCAGCAGGCGCAGACGCGTTCTGAAGACGCATGGGAAGGAGCAGACGCATTGGGAGGTGCGGGCGCGCTGCGAAGACGCATCCGCATTGGGTGACACAGACGCATTGCGCAGACGCATTGGGGTAGCGAAGACGGCTTCAGAAGACACATTGCGAGGCTACGGTCCAGGTAGGCGCAGATGCATTGCGAAGCCGCTTTCACCACATAACGGCCACGAACAGAATGCGAGGGCATTTTCACATGCATGACCCGCATGACATTTGACGGAGCATGGGTTTCGCAGTCTCCATCAACACTCCGACAGGACCCCGCAATGTATTGATGTGTACTCTCGCCGCTGATGTGTAGCTGCCTGAAACAGCGACCATACTCCGGTGATGTGTATCTCACGGACTGATGCGAGACAAGCCCCACGCTTGTACCGCAGCCTTCCCCTCAACACTTACAGAACCATCTCTTCCAAACCTCGTGCCAATCTGAAGAATCCCATTGAGCCAACAGCGGAATGGCTGTCGTTGGCTCACATTATAAGGCACCAGCAAAGCTGACAGAGCTGTAGATGGGTTGTCCGTGCCCGGCCGGGCATTGAACGAAAGATTTGCTGAAGCCAGCGAAGAACGCATTCAACAGGCCTCGGAACATGCGTTGGGTTTGCGCAAAGCTCCGAGCGATGAATGTGAGCAGCGTGTGGGTTGTTGCTGAATCAGGACAACTTAAAGCATGTTCGGGCGTGGGGACGGCATTGTCAAAGTAGGGTCAAATGCGTTTAGCAGGCCATGGAAACTGCATTCGGGCATGGTCGGAGTTCCGACCACGGATTCGAGCAGTTTCTTTTTGTGGGCGTAGGGACGCGTTGAAACCAGAGGGCTGCATTTAGCAGGCCTTGGGGGATGCATTTGGGCTTGGTCGGGGGCTTGGTGAGCTTGATTTGGGCTGGGAGAGACTGGGCCCAGCACACCAGCGAAGCTGAGACAGCTCTAAATGCGCTTTCCAAGAATTTAAAATGCATTCTGGGGCCTGGAAACCGAACTACAGCATTTGCCGTACGATTTTCGGGTTTTCGACTCTCAGACTCGCACAAGGCCGGCAAGGCTCCGCATAGTTCTGTCTCCACTACTGCAAGCAAGAGAGACAGCGAGATGCATCAGACGACAGAGAGCTGGCTACGACAACACAACAGGGTCCGGCTGCCTCTCGTTAGGTCGAGACATTGCTCAGCTGTTTCAAAGGAACTAATCTACGTATCAGGTACAGAAGGGATGGCGAGCTCCAAATGCGCTGAGCAGGTCGTGGAAGACGCGTTTGAGTGGCCAAGGGCGCTACCAACAACCCGGAAACAGTTCTACATGTGATTGCAAGCCTTGAAAAAGCGCATTTGGGTGGAAAATTCATTTGGGCTTGGTCGGAGGCTTCGGGTACTTGACTTGGGCTCGGAAACTGGGGCCAGGAACACCTGTAACAGTTCCAAATGCCTTTCCTAGCTTTGAAAATGCATTTGGGGCCTTGAGATCCAAGCTACAGAGCAGCTACAGCATTTGCAATACGATTTTCGGGTTAAGGACAGGACCGGCATTGAGCTTCAAATTTGTTGAGACGCAAGCTAAACAAATGTGCTTAGCAAGCCTTGGAAAATGCATTTGGGTTTCGTCGGTGGCTTCGAGAGCTGAATTAGAGCCTCGGGAGTGGGGCCAGGGGCACCAGCAAAGCTGAAGCAGCTCTAAATGCGTTTTCCAAGCCCAGCTTGTTCGATCCGATTTTCGTGGTGCAGGGGCGGCATTGAGCTCTAGATTTGCTGTTTGCGCCTGGTCGGAGGCTTTGGGAGCTCGATGTGGGTTCGGGGGGCCAAGAACACCCGCAAAGCTGAAACAGCTTTAAATGCGTTTGCCAAGCCTCGGGAATTGCATTTTTGGGCCCTATTCGATACAGGAAAAGAAATGTGAACTCGTGGTGGAGTGTCTGGCGGTCCATGGAAGAGACAGTCAGATTGCAGGGGCCTTTTTCGCATACCTCGCCGGTGTCTATAGCACCGTCGCTTCCACAGGCTGCATTATAGTGAAGGCAATGGAAGCACTTCTCCTTTACGAGCCCACAGACAAGAAGCAAATCGCCGCCCTGGAAGCAGCCTACCCTGTTGCCTTATGTGTGAGCTGTGCTCTAATGGGCTTAAGCATGTCGTGTGACAGTGCACACAAGCGACTTCCATGAGCGCCGTGTGCTGTGTATACAGGTTTTGATAGCTGTCCGCCGGCAGGAGTGGCCTGCATCTGCGCGAAAAAGTTATAAGGACCCAAGTCTCATGTGCCAACCAGAGGCAGTTGCAGGGCTCATGAGCTCGCAGGCCTCATGCATATCACATTATAAAGGTTTAGCCAAACTCGAAATTCAGAGTTGGCGAAACCTTATATAGTTTAAGGCTGAGCTAAACCCGAAATTGAAGTATATAGCTACATTGAATGAGCGTCGGGGGCGGGACCCGTACCCAACAAAAAACACCACCGGGACGGCGATTCTTTTTTCTCGGGCCCCGCCTCCCCCGACGCTCACTCACCCACTGCGGGCCTGGGCCGCGATGCTTCCCCGGGCCGGGTGGTGTTTTTTGCTTCGGCCTCACGAATCAAGCACGAGCCAATAACCAAAATCGTCTGGTCTTATACACCGGAACGACAAAAGACCCCGCGGGGCAATAGCAAACAAAACACACTACTGGGGCCCCGTAGTGCTTTTTTTTTTCTTCCGGCCCCGAAGCCCCCGACGCTCACTCACTCACTCACTGCGAGCCTGGGCAGCGATGCCCCGCCGAATCAGGCGAGCCAATAACAAAAGATGTCTGGTCTATTACACCGGTTCAAAAACAGAACACCACGCCCTGGTGG